CAAGAATCACAAGGACGATTCAACAGAAACGACGCCTTCAGGTCTCACGCGAACTCTCATGACATCACCAACGACAGAGCAGAAAACTCCTTACACCACTTAAGGCTTTCAGTCACAGAAAGTAAATTTCGCGCGCAATATTATGGGATGAACTACGCTCCGGATCGGAGCATTTTACCACTGGTCACCAGTTCAGGGTGTAATTAACAGACCAATGATTCATATGGCAGACCGTTCGTTTATCGTCTAAAAAGGTTACTCAGGTGGTCTAGAAAGAAGAGCAGGAGGCATAGAGGCCGGTAGTTTGCTCCGCATTTCAGAAGTGTCACGTTCAAATCCCGAGTGCAAAGAACATTATTTTACTGTCAAATTAATCGCTAATTCCCTCGAACAAACAATTCGCCCCAATGTGAATTGATGCGGCCGTCTGCGAAACGATTAGCAAGCCGCTGACCTGAGAACAACGCGATTCTACAGTAGTGCACGGTGCTCTAGCTCGGTCACGTCAGAGTTCGCTAGTCTTACGACGAGTCACAGCGGGTGACATACCCACCTTGCAGTTCGCCTGTGCCTACCAAACAGGGAACCGAAAATGAAAAAAGCGATAAACCATAAATTAGGATACTAAATTACTGGGCTTCGCAAGAGGATGGCATTTATATCCAATTCGTAGAAACTAAACAGGAAATTTAGTTACACCTTAGCGATACCACATGTTAACCCAGCAACGCACTAATGTATAGGGCATCGCCTACACACTGGGTAGACCAGTGCTGTGCCATTACCGACGATATTTCAGGAAGCAGAAATGTTATATACTTATCGAGCAACATCAAAAGTATTGACTGGATCGACAGAAATACACAAGCATAATCCCCCTTTCAAGCGACTCATACGATACTACCGCATCGACTCTAGCCTACAGAAACTTAAACGGTAAGTTAATAAAGACAAGGATGCACTGAGCTTTCTAAAGTACAACGAATTAACGACGAATTTCCCGTCAGCGGTCGAGAAAACATCTCATGTACCGGCCTGAACTAAGTAACCGTCTAACTTTTGTAACGCTGATTTAACGAGTACCTAATTCGAAATGAAAACGACAATCGATTATGTGGCACTTCTCGAAGTCTAGGCATTGGCAATACGTTCAACTGCTTTTGTATGTAACTGACAGCTAGTTCTAGTAACTGACTGTCATCCGCAAGCAAACATAAGGACGGTACACGTACTAAAAGTCTCTGAGGTATAAAGAAAGAGAATCGCTAACAGACAAATACAAGATCGAATCACGGGCAATCATATCTGACAGAATATTTCACACGTTATTACAGCAAAAAGTAACATATGATCTGAAGCACTAAGTCAATCAATGCATGCTTACCGAGGCAAACTGACTAGGTATATAGTCGAAAAGAATGTCGATCAAATCAGCAAACGAAGGTCTGTCTCTCGGCTCGTACTGCCAACATCGTAGCATTATATCATACAGCTTTACAGGGCAGTCGTTCGGCATCTTCATAACCTTTCGGTGATCGACAACGTATCTCATGACGTCCTCATTCGAAAATCCTCCGTACGGATGCGAAGCAAGCGATGTGATTTCCCACAGTACCACGCCATACGACCTAAAGCACAAACAGGTGACCGGGAGAAACGTGCAAAGATAAACGAAAGGGATAAAAACAAAGGAAGCTGTTACCTGACTACAGCGATATCCATAGGTTACGTCAAAGCCCATACCACGTTCTAATTTACAATAAACTCCTCAGCCAATTCGATCACATTCTGCGGTAAAATGATAAAACTGACACCCCAACAGCTCTGTGGAAACAAGTTTGAAACGAAAAGGCACGTTCGGTTAAAAATTCACTGAAACAAGACTCGATGGTCAAAATAGTGGACAATATAACAACCGCAACCATGTCCAATCCCTGAGAAACGTCAGTTTTGAATATTCGTTCCTCAAAGCTACGGTGTTTATAAAGTGCAGCTTTTAACGGGACAAAAACAGAAGGATAATTTAAAGGACACAAATAGAGCGCCAATATCGACCGAATGAATGAATTTTAACACTCTGACGCGGTATGATAACTGACTGCCCTGCAGAGGACTGAGTTAAGTGTTCTGAAATTTGAGATATGAATGGGTGAACGATTTACTTAGAAATCTTAGTAAAAAATGCTCAGCAAGTACCGATGCTTAAGTAACAATCTAACAATCTTAAGGGACAGGCGGCACTTAAGAATTCGAATAAAAAAACGTACCATATGTCAGACTTGGACGTGAATATGGCATCCTTTAAGGCTTCCGGAGCCATCCAGCGCACCGGCATCAGTCGTCTGCCACCCTGTGGGCGGTAATAGTCTTTAATATAAACATCACGAGCCATCCCGAAGTCCCCTAAACAGATATGATAATCGTACAGTCCAAAAACTCACCTTTTAACAATGCACATGAAACCGTGCCGTAAAATCTGACAAACTTTCCCATGATAAGCAAGGAAGACGGATCTTGGCAGGCCATAAGGGCAAAAAAGATCGGCCATAAGAGACAGTGGCCAGTGGCAGTAATCGCGAAACAGAACGATGCAGCACATTTTGTATATAAACTACGAAGGAAGCATGACGGAGATCTTTCAGTTGTAAATCGGTTTTGAGCTGACGACGGTTATCGATCTGTGACGCACAAATCCCGTCACGTCGTCAATTTTCAAAGTTTCTGTCATGCGCAAATTCTAAAACGTCATCAAAAATGAATAGTTTCTATCTCCAAACAAGGATGTGTCCATTCTTGTTCCACTGCGTGTTTCTCGCCAGCTGCGGGCAGACGTGCGCTGCACCTCAATTGCTACACGAGATCATGAGATCGCTTAATTTCTGAAGAAAACATACTGACCTCTGAACCTAATCTAAAGATCATACGTTGCAGGGCGAATGTCGTCCGAAAATGGACAATAATGAATGTCGTACATTTAGGAAATCTACATCTAGGCATTTTAAGTAACGAAGAATTTTGACCAAAACTGCATTACGGAAAGTAATGATGTAAATGCGGCCTGCAATATGCACATATTCACATATTTTCTAAACTGTATTTGCGAAAATTATAGATTGATTTTACGAACCGTAAACACATATGCAGTATTTTGTACATGCACAGCCTGAAAATCACCGGTAACAGACAAAAAAAGTACCTATTTTACACGTGCCGTCAGCAGATACCATACAGTTTCGCGCCGCAAGATCTCGATGGCAGAACTTTATAGCCTCCAGATAAGCCATTCCGTCGGCTATTTCCGCGGCCCACTGATAGAATTCCGTAACTGTTGGCGGAATAGTACTTTGAGCACTTTCGTCCGTGTCCGGTCTCCTAAACAAATGAAAGTTATGATGCAAGGCAAGTAGAAATTTTCTTCATGCTCATCCATACCAATTACATATTTATCTGAATTAACCTTCTATCCGCCAATCCGCTTTCTCTTAATCATTCTTTACTACTGTCTCAGTATGGTGTATCTTGTCTGTTGCTGCTTGCTTGTACATTATACGCATACTGTTATACCAACGGGTCAGTGAAAAAGCTGAACTGCGTCAGGGCTCCGCAAATTTAAACAGCAAACTCATTTAATTGGTTGAGCTGAAAACAAGCTACGCATTCAAGCATTAAAATATTCCAACAGGGCCGACAGACGAGAGAACTGTGACGCACCAAGACAGAATATCACATGAAAACCTAAAGGCACAAACTGTTAGAAGTAAAATGTCGGAACAGCATTAGACTAAGACTACGAGCTGGAAAAAGCTGGAAGAAGCCTTGTCAGGTTTTCATCGACAATCGAGGAGAATCTCAAAACTATCAACCGTACGGAAAGCGATTATCGAATAGCAACAGCAAATCGACACTGAGAAACACCACCGAACACATCAAACGTTTCTTACTTCGGATGTAAGCCAATCTGAAACAAGGTTAAGCCACTGACCGGGTTAAGCTAATCACAGAGCCAAGAGAATCGCAACCGAAAGAAGCTAGAAAACTTGCGACAACAGCCGTACGGCGGCGATGCCTTTTGCGAAACTGCGCATCGAACGCGATCGACCGAAACGCATACCTTGATCGAAGATAGTCCTTCAGATTGCCGTTTTCCATCATCTCCATGACGACTAGCGACGGCTGTCCCTCGCTGACCACGCCGTATAGCTTGACGATGAAAGCCGTGTTGAACTTCTTCATTACCGACGCTTCTATCAGGAAATGCCACCGATCGTACACCGAGGCCGCCTCGGACACGGTTTTAACAGCGCAATTGCCGAACGTAATGCCGCTCACAGATTTCACGTTCTTGCCTCTACCGGCGTAAACTTTGCCAAACGTTCCATGCCCGATTTCACTTAGAAGCTCAATGTCATCTCTGAAATTAAGTATCGGAAGTGACTTGAAGCCAAGAGACAAACAACGAACAGAACACCTACTGTGTAGCTATAGTCGCTGCTGATCTGTACAAATACAGTACAGAAACATGTGCACAATGAACTGAGTAAAAATGAGCAGTTTTGTTGGTCACACGACAATAAAATTTCAGATCTTCATGCAATGAATATCTATTAATAACAAAATTCTCATGCAACAGCAGTATTAACTTCATAGCTTTTCATAATGGAGTTTTTTCTTTCATACAGCTTTCTAAAGCAATATAAAACCAAACTGAATAATAATGCAGCATGTCGTACGTGCCTTGCATAAATCCTGTTTCCACCGGCTGCCACCGCCGCACGATACGCCAGAACGTAGCGGCGGTTGACGGATGGCATTAGTTGGATATTACAAGTCACAGGATAGCGTTACCGGGTTTATGAATAGCATCAGTTGGACAAGGCAGCGCAGTATGTGGAATACGGTGGTAAACGCATGCTGACAGCGTAACGGTCGACGAACGGTACGAATTCGGTGTTGCGGAAGTCTGAACTCTGAACGACTGAAGTCTTGGATGGCGATCAAGAAGTGTCAGAGAATCGATTCGGTCAATTGTGCAATCTACTTTTTATGAATAGTAAGCCTTAACTCTACGGCGATACTTTATCCCGAAAAGACGATAAATCTTTGAGCCGAGAGAGGAAAATCCCAACACAGAAGACCAGCGTGGAGGGCTGCATCCATAAAATCGTATGGGGGGCATTTTCAAGCGTAAATGAGAAATGGCCCAGAAATACACTGGGAGAGGGGGAGAGAAAGAAGAAACTCCGGAACTGATGCAAAGTAAAAAAGGCTAAAGGTATAGAAAATATCCTCCGAATTACGCAAGGCACTGGGAAGGGAAGAAAGCAGTTGAATCGGTTGCTTGCCTCGAAATGAAATCACGAGAATCCAGGCGATGTCGCAGGAATGGATGAAGAGAATTCGATTAAACTAAGCCGCGAAGTCATACAGTAAAGGTTTGTGAACGACGAGCGGTCCGACAACGGCGAAAGAATTGCCCAAAAACAACACAGCCACAGTTTAACAGAATAACGTCGGCGACGATTACAAAACACGCAAATGCCGACCAGAGAGCAGATCACAGCCGCCGCGCATTCACTGTCGACCGTACACAACGGCGTACGGCGACTTGAGGACTTACCTCTTAAGCTCCCATTCGTCGGCGACGTAAACCTCAGACTGGCTAATGTACTCCGGGTTGGCGGAGAATGCGTTCTGCAGTTTCTTTTGAAACTTGCGCCGATATATCGAGATTACCAGGAATACGCCGAGGGCAATAGCGATCAACGAGCAAGAGACAGCGATCAGAATAATGGTCGACTCTGATAGTCTGCGAGGCTCGACGATGATGAAGTTCTGGTAACGGGTCCACGGACCGCGCGACGCTAGCGACATCGCCCTGACGCGAAATGAGTAATTACCGGGCGACAGGTCATGCAAAGCTATTCCACGTTTCCGCACGAAATCTGCGTGCGTGATGCATTCGCGCTTGAACTTCTACAGCAAACGTTGGTCATAATTGTCACAAACGTGTAACGACGACAGTTGCAGCGCCTACCTTCGTAGGGTCCAAATCTTTAGCGTAATCGACTTCGTACGACACGACGGCGCCGTTCGGATCTTCAGGCGGCTCCCACCGGATAAATCGGCTGTTTACAAACTGAGTGATGTTGAAAACGTGAATCGTACTTTCATTAATCGCGTCTTTCATATCTTGAACAAAAAAAAGGAGTAAAGCTTACTACGATTAATATCGTTAAACCAACCGATCGCCAGGGTGCTTTTCACAACGGCGACTTTGTGTCTGCTGCAGAAGTTCTCTGGAAACGACGTATTCTGGCAAGCCCAGATCTAAGAATGATATATCGTACTCAGCAATAAAGCTGAAACGCATCAGCGTAAGTACTCTAATTTCGTAGGAAGTGAAATGTCGTAAATTGTCAATCGTGTAGTTATATCCCGTGACATTGACGGTTACGGGCAAAGGACTGACAGCGTGATTATTCATGGACGATGCATTTTTCGGCTCTGCTGCAACCGCTATGTCAGTAGTTTCTGAATGCTTCTCTGCAGATGCCTCGGGAAGAGAGCGCTTTCTGATCGACCTGAAAAATGAAATGTAATTAATCAATAGCACATAGCAGCACTTTCGACACATTTTCAGTCTCAATGCGACGCAGGTTAATGGACACTGTCTGAATGACCACGTGAATGAACCGAAAACACCCGGTGGAATAGTACCGAATCAAGAATACGATATACGATAGAATGTTCGAAGAAAGTAACTGACAGATAAAGTGAAACGAGTCAAGTTGGGTCGAAAATATTCCAGACAGCACTGAACAAGAAGTCGAAGAGAGCCACAATTAAGCAAAACAGACGCGGAAGAAAAATTTACGATATTTTACTGCCAATGCTTTAACGTAAGAACAGGTCCGTTCGTTTGTCGGGCGTGTCCGAAAATGGTGTGGGTAATGTAACAACCGCCGACACATTGGTTAGGACAAATACACAGGAGGCCGAAGAACCGATAGCTGAATTCCTTACGACCGAACTGTCATACATGCACTTACACACGTCTCCAGGCTGTCTCTGTTGCGTGGTTGCTACCTGCGGATGGATAAGTCTGGAATTCAGTACACTTCTTCAACAAAGCAGCTTTCCATTTAAGTGTTCGCTTCTTACACTTCCGGAGAAGTGTCCAAAGATGTGTCAAAGAATCAAGGAATGTGGAAAAAACTGAAATGAACAGTTAGCCACCGTTAAAGGGAATATCATAGGAAGAAAAGTGACCAAATATTCACCACCTTACAACGTTACTGCTATGTGCCATGTTGTTTGGTTCATTCCACCATACCGTGATCCTCGTCTGGACTGTTCACAAAACTGTGACGCAAACTCATGCCCACTTCTAATCGCTTATGATACCTAATCAGGAGGACGTAAGGTTGCTTCTTTCCGATTCTTCTCGTTTAAATTAAAAAAGAACAAGTATGTTTATGCACAAATATCAACAGCTGAGTGCGTGGTCACTAACAACGGAAGCTGCGAAAACAAATGAGTGGCACATATTCAGTGAAATGAAACTGACTACCAACATCTGACAAAGAAGTTCAGAGAATTAAGTTAAAAATTAATTACAGAATTACAAATATTTCAGCGTAACTGCGAAATAATGTCGAAAATGCGTCTTTCGAATTCAACCGCCGCAAGCACGAACACAAATGTTCCAGGCAGCAAATCAGTCGGTCCTGATGACCTCGAAGAACGAACTCTGCTTTGAAAAGCCTCACTGTACTTTCAATTCTTTCTCATTTCCCCTCGTTATTCTCGTTCTACTTCTGAACCATTTCTTTTCTCCTTCATTACACTCCCGTTTCTTGATCTTCACCAAGCCCGTCGCCTGTCCGTCAGCGCTGACGTAATTCAACAATGAATCAAGATAGGCTCGTGACAAAATCACCGTCAGGCGTGTGTTCCGAATTATGGGCGGATTTAATTCTGACGTATAAGATAATCTTTCCGCTTTTGATTCTCAGGGCAACAGACTGGCAATACCTTCATGAAACGTGCTTGACCCACTGGCAGCAATTTAGCTTCTTGGACTTTCTTTAATATACATGCTGCAGAGGATAGTTTGCACTCTTATCGATTCGCATCCTTTCCGTTTCCTATCTGCCATTCACGCTATCCAACGCCATGCACAGTTACACAATCATTCTTGTACTCGCGAATCAAGGTGATCAGTATGCGTTGGTCGAAAAAAGTGTTTTCAGGCACAATGACAATTCTATCTATAGAATCCTGCGGAGTGTCAAACTACAGCACTGACAAACGGATTATCATTAGTAGAATTGAAAGTAAAATCTTAATCCGAAGCCGCTTTCTTCCACGACCTTTCGTTATACAAATATGATTAGTCATTTGGTAGTCAATCAGACCGATGCTCACTTTTAATCTTTATGATGGAATACTGCAAGTTTTAACATGAATCAAGTCACTACCTGAGCGATTTACTCTAACTCCTTTTCTGAGAGAATATTCAAACAGACTACAGGAATGTGACTAATAATCACCGCAAAGTGATATGGATCTTGAAGGACTCACACGGAAAGCGAACGAGAGACAGACAAACGCGCAAATGACTTGAGCATACTGAACAATATGCACGACCGCGCCCGGAATATCACTGCAATGCAATCAGGAAGATGGTTTAACCGCTTACTGCGAATGTATTGCGACCGTACATTCGGTTGCAGCATTTATAGTCAGTCAGTCAGGTTCGATGATCGCTCATCCTTTCGGGTCGCGGAGGCAGACGCATCAGACAGTGTCTACAGTATTCCCGATCCTGTGTCAGCACTTGAGCTACGGCAGAAGATAACCAGAGCCTGAAGCAGAATCATTCGAGGCAGTCACTTCAGGTCTTTCATAGCTTCGGTCCCAGGGGACTTCGGCAGGGGTTAGGCAAGTAGTAATTTCGATTTGCTTTCTGGATGCATTTGCAAAATCTTCTAAAACCATCGCAGTTCTGACTTTCAGTCTGGAAAATGAGCAGCTGCACGCCAACGCTCTCACGGATTTCTGTACTTCGGGACCATGCCGAGACGCGTAAGGCCAACGACTGGTCTCAGAAAGCCCAATCCAGCAGCCTGCACCCGGGATCGAAGTTTAGCAGTCATGGTTTACGACTCATGACCCTATGTAAGCATGGAAATGAAGACCGACTTGAACACCGAGAGCGTAGTTTTCACACTCAGCCGTTCTTTAGTCCAACGGTTAAGAGTAGTTCATGCAAAACGCCAATGGCAGCTACAATTCGCCGGTCAATCTC